CGTTCATTCCATGCATTGCGTGACTACAAGCAGTATTCTCTCGCTCCCTTGTGCTGTGAATAAGACGAGCTGAACCTGACCGTAAAACTGCCTTCAGTTCATTCCATTCATCGCGTTCAGAAAAGACACACACCGCTCCGGCCGCACAGCTTCATTGACTGCCTTTTTTTTTTTTTTTCCCTTCTTTTTTTCTTTTCTTTTTTTTGGGGGTCCACTCTCTCTCTATTTTATCCCCTTTCTTATGAAGGGAATGTAAACCAGCGGCCTAGCTCTCAAGTGATTACGCACGCACGTGCCATTCAGGAGGTCGTGGGTTCAACCCCCATCACGGCCGCCTGTGGCACTCTTGGTGCCAACCAACTAACTGAGATAGTCAGCTGGAATGGATCCTCCCAGTCGGTATCATTAAGGTAAGGTCTTCAGCCAGCCAACAAGGGTGTGAGTGCGCGTGTGAGGGGTTTGAGTGTGGTGTGTGGGAGAGGGTTGGCTTTAGACACTACAGTTACCGGATGGGGGGGGGGAGGGGGAATGAAAAGGGAGGCACAGTTACTGGCAAAGGCTCGGTCCTTGTGTTAGCCAGGGGCCCAACGGCGGGCCCCAACCCTGCAGCCTAAACGCTAGGACAAAGGGGCAAACACGCCGTTACCTCCCTCCACCGAGAGAGGTAACCTCCCTTCACCGAAGAGAGGGAGGAAGCTATGCTTGCAGGGGTCCCCTGTATAGCCTTAGGACTAGTGGTAGGTCGTGAAAGGGAAAAAATATGTTCCATGACATGACATGGCAGAACGCCAGTCAATTTGTTACAATTGCTTATCAGCTTGACGCTGTTGAAAATCAGTTGTTGTATGACCTTAATGGTCCACCTCCTGAAGGTAGTAATTATACTACCTCAGGAGGCTTTACTATAAATGTCTTACAGTGAGCATTTCACGGTCGCCACCTTCTTATGCATTATGCGACGCCAGGCGAGAACCTTAATGCCCGTCCTCATATTTCTGCATGCATTTTGCACAAACCCGGGCATTATATGGCACTCATTCGTGCAGCTGCCCAGTGGGAACTGTGGGATGGTGGGACGGTGATTCAGGTTATTGTCAACACAAATGAATTCTTGCGAGGTTTGTCGAATCATACACTATTCTGGATTGTTCGGCGTCTCTCGTGCGACATTTGTCGGGATAGGGACGTGGTGCGTCTTGGTTGTGGAATGCATTATCTGTGTCAGCACCATTATCGAGCCATTGCGACTGCCGCCGTATGTGCGGAAGTGTGTCTAACATTTCCTCATTCTGCACATCCCTATCATCCAGATGTACGTTGTCCTTTCTGTTCCCAAGGACGTTATCAGAACTGCATGATGCCGCACTGTGACGAACGTCCTGCTGTCTTCTTGACATGTGGGCAACATGTCCTCTGTCAGGATTGTTTCGATGGGATGGTTCGTGCTAGCCGTCCGGCTGAATGCTATGCTAGCGCAACCCTCCTTGGGTATCCCTGTGAACATCCCCGTCATCCTCTCACCGTAGTTGTCCTATCTGCCGAGGGGGTGACAGATAAAGTTTAGAAGAAACAGGTAAAAAAAGAAACCAAGCAAAAAGATAAATAAATAAATAAAAGAAACCAAGGAAAAAGACAAAAAAAGAAACCTGAGAAAAAAGAAAAAAGAAAGAAAAAAAAAGAAAAGTTATGTGGGATGGTAATTGGATTATCTGTGGGATGTGTCACTTGCTTTGTCTGTTTAATAGGCTTTCTTCTTCTGTGAGGTTTGGTTTCCTCCTCCTATGTGTCACTTGCTTTGTCTGTTTAATAGGCTTTCTTCTTCTGTGAGGTTTGGTTTCCTCCTCCTCCTTTTCTTTACCTCGTTTTTGCCTTTTGGCTGCGTGCAAGTGGGCCTTTGTGACACACGGGGATGGGGGCAGCCAGCGCTCAACCTGTCATCCACGTGGCTGGCCTTGTACGTAAGACGTGATGAACAGGTGGGGCTTTCCTTCTTTTCCTTTCCTTGTTTTGCTTTTTTCCACCTTTGCGCTCCGATTCACAGTGTGACAATATATATAAAGGGGAAAGAAAAAAGGAAAAGGAAAAAAGGGGAAGGGGAAGAGGTAAGGAAAGCTCCACCTGTTCATAACCTCTTACGTACAAGGCCAGCCACGTGGATGACAGGTTGAGCGCTGGCTGCCCCCATCCCCGTGTATATATATATATTTAGTGTGGGTGAGTGATAGTCTACTTTGATTTTGGTTAAGGTAGATTATCATTTACAGTGTAATCAGTGAGGGGATTCTGCAGACTGTTGAGGGTTCAGCCTCCTGATGAGTCGGTGAAACTCCGACGAAACAGTTTGTCACAGCCCCTCGTTTGTTGTCCTCTTCTCTCTCTCTGCCTACGGTTTACCGGGCAGTTCTGTTTCGTCAAACAGAGAGAGGGAGAAGAGGACAAGAAACGAGGGGCTGTGACAAACTGTTTCGTCGGAGTTTCACCGGCTCATCAGGAGGCGGAACCCTGTATATATATATAATATATATATATCGTCAAACATATCTATATATTTTATATGTATAGATATATATAAGTATTAATGCATGTATATATCTCTATATATCGGTCTAATTCCGACTAAACAGGCTGCCACAGCTCCCCTTTCTCGTCGTTTTCTCCCTTTCTGCCTACAGTTAACCGCAGACAGTTCTCTATGCATATATATATTGTCACACTGTATATATATATGTACATACATGTCACAATGTATATACGTATGTGTGTGTCGCGCAGCTATGAACTAAGTGTCTTGGAGCGCATCGCCCACTTGAAAGTTGTAACGAATTTTTTTTGTTTTGTTTTGTTTTGTTTTCTTTTCTTTTTTGTGGTTGTGAACATGTAACGAATTAAAAAAAATAATAATAATAATGAATGGCAGACAGCCAAAAAGCGAAAACCAAGAAGGAGAAAAGAAAGGGCAGAGAGCTCTCTTCTTGCGGCAACTGCTTGTTATTATCTTTTTTTTTTCCATTTTATCCTTATCCTTATCCTAGTTGTTCCGCAGTGACTCACGCAAACCAGGGAACGACACCCGTAAGGAGAACATGACATTTCTTTCTTTTTTTTTTTATAAAAGAATTATTACTAGGTTTCTAGTACTTTCTACTATAAAAATTTTAAAACGTAATTACAATTACAGTCATATGACTACTGCAGTTAACTCTGAGAGTCTGACCAAAGACTCTCGGCATGATTTTTTTTAATTTTTTAATTTTTATTTTTTCTGGTTCTACGATAGGTGCGCATTATCGATGAAAGGGCCAGATGGGCTTTTTTTTCTTTTTTTCTTTTTTTTTTTAAGCAAATGGTCCCTTCTGCTCTGGGGGGCACCAGTCCGGTTACCTTTTTTTTTTTTTTTGGGGTCACCGGCAAGCAAATGAGAATCCAAGAATTCAGAAAAGAGTAAGATTGCAGCCCCAGAATTATTAATTGGGGTCCAGAATGGGGAACGAGACGCGGGACCAAATAGCGGGAAGCAAATTGGCGGGAAGCAAAGTGGCGGGAAGCAAAGTGGCGGGAAGCAAAGTGGCGGGAGCGAGGGCGGGAAGGGAAGAAACACCATCGGTCAGGATTTCGTGCCAGAGGGGAACAGCATGCACTTGGGAAAGGGCAGGGGGGGGGAGGGGGGGGGGGAAGGGGACGGGAAAAGCTCTATTTTAATCTATCATACGCCAAAAAGTTAGAGCCTTCCCTCTCCCCGCGCACCCCCCCCCCTTCCGTGTCGACCCGCTTGCATTAGTATCTGATCATTTGGCGGGAGGCGCCATTGGGAGCGAGAAAGAGGATAAGGAGAAAGAGAGGGAGAAAGATGACATCATGACAGTAAAGAACGGGTTCATTCAGGATCGCGAAGAGAGTCGTGATAAGAATTGAAGGCTTGGTAGGGAGAAAGGCGTGGGCCGGGAGGCGGGAAGAGAGGGAGGGGGAGGAGAGAGGGAGAGGGAGGGGGAGGAGAGAGGGAGAGGGAGGGGGAGGAGAGAGGGAGAGGGAGGGGGAGGGAAGACATAACTGGTGACGATATGAGTGTGATGAAGGCTGCGCTTGACACCCACCCACTCACCCACTCCCCTTGCCTCCGTCCTCTTTCCCAGACTTAACATATTTTAGGACCATGTTGACGTGGCAAGCACGAAAAAAAAAAGAGAGAAAGAGAGAGAGAGAGAGAGAGAGAGAGAGAGAGAGAGAGAGAGAGAGAGAGGGGAAAGGGAAGCAAGCCGTGACGTCAACGATGTTGTTGCTGCCATGATGCCTTACCTGCAATCCCGACTGAGAGGGGGATGCGAAAACGTGATCAGCGGGGACAGAACAGAGGAGACTGAAAATCAATCGTTTGCCGTTTCCCGCCAAATTATTTGCAGTTTCCCGCCAAACTCCCCTCCTTCTTATCCGTTGTGAGTCGTCGCAATAGACTTCAGCCTCTTTCAGGCCAACCGCTTGTGCCCTTTCTTGTCCCCTTCCCCCTCCCTTCTGAGTGGAACTATATTTCTCCCTCTCTTTCCTCCTTCACCTCTCCGCTCCCTCCTTGAGACTTCCAGCAGATAAGAAGACATCACTCGACCTTCCTTCCTCTCTTGTCAATATTCCATCCCCTCTTCCCACGCTGCCATCCTCCTTCCTTCCTCCTCCTCCCTCCTCCCTCTTCCTCCCTCTTTCCTCCTTATTCTCCCTAGAGGTTTGACTTGGCAGCAAGCGACGACTTCAACGATAATTAGCCTCTTCGAGTTCCGACATGAAGCGTGGCACAGAGGAGACCAGGTGCATGGGACTGCTCAATGAATTTGCTTTGAATCTTTTCTCTATTTAGGATTTGTGCAATCTGTGCTCAGGAACCGGTCATCCGGCGCGAGGTCCCACTTGCAGCGACTCTTCATTCTCAGCCCTAGAGATCACCTGCACCAACGGCCAGAAACACAGAGTCCACGTAAGTGGGACCTTGGGCCCGTTTGAGTGGGACCAGGCGCTTATCACGGGTCCCAATGCCGTTTTTTTTTTTTCTTTTTTTTTTTAGAAATCCCAATTCCGTTTCCTTTCCCAGAGAGCGGACTGCGCTCGGCGCACAAGATGGTCCCCGGTCCAGCTCGTTCCAATCCGATTCCCAACGGTACAAAATCAATCAATCAATCAATCAATCAACCGCCTTGGCCACCATCCAACCAGAGAGCCACCCCTGGGACGAGACCTCGGCTTTTGGCAAGAGGACGGTTGCAGAAGGAACCAACTTAGCCTCGTAGGCTTAGAGAAGCCCAATAAGAAAATGTGCCTGGAGCCCAATAAAAATGTGCCTGGGGCCCAAAAAAAACTGGCTGGACCCCTACATATAGAGCAGTATACCAGGTCTCGTCCAAAAACTGCAGGTACTTTCTAGGGGGGCTCATCTGAGACATCAGAGATTTCTGGGACACGGCTGGGTGGGTTCCGGCTCCATGATCTCTCTGGGACCCACATTGATGCACTTGGGCTGCTGCTCAGTTTAGCCCGCTAAGTTCGCAGCCCGTCAGGGTTGCATTTTATGCCCCTGAGACATTGAGACATTGAACATTTTTCGTCGTCGTCACCAAATGGTGCGGTAGTTGGAGGGGTGGTGTATTTGCTGGGGGTCCAATTCGTGGGAAATAGGCAGTTCAAGGAAGTGCAGGACGGGTTCGCAGGGTTGCGTTTTGGAAGGGTGGTG